GCTAACATTTTTATCGCATTAATCGCGGCAAAATGTCATATACAAATCCAACTATAGAGAAAGAGAGAATTTTTGTCGAAAATATCTAAATGATTTTTCAGAGGTCTCAAAAGAGGCTATTTTGCCTTTTTGGCTAAATGTATAAACTGTCATTAGCAAAAGGGACACTTGTAATTTATATACACGCACTTCTGTATATATTATTATTATGCGAGAGAAAAAAGGATTATACAAGATCCAGATGTTTGATTTCGATTATCATCAGATAAAATACAAAAGTGAACAATGTTTGTTGTTTTCTTTACAAAATTCTATATATACTCTTTTCTATTGTTATAAATTCTTATACTAATAATCTATATATATTATTCTATGAAAAAGACACTTAAACACTATTCTTTCTTTCTATTATATTGTTCGAACCTCAATTTTCACACTTTAACACTATTAACTTAAAAGTCATTAATAGCTGATTTTTGGACAATTCTATTACAACAAATACTATTATTTTTGTTATTATTATTACTCGCCTAAAAAATATTGATTTTTTATATCCAAATTTTTAATTTTATTATTATTATTATTATTACACTGACAAAAATGTTTGTACACAAAAAATAAAATTATTTTGAAACAACCGAATAAATGTATTTGGCATAAAATATATCAATTTTTTTAGTTGAATCAACCAAATATTTATTTGGCTCAATCAAATTCTTTCATCTTCAATCGAAAAATTTATTAAAATAAACCAAACGTTTATTTCAATCAAATAAATTTTTATTTAAATCAAACAAATTTTGTATGAAGAAACCAAAAAAGGGATATATATTTGATGAGAAAAAAAAAAACTTTTCTTCAAGTGCAGTTAGAATAACCAGAATTTTGGTTATAGTCCACTGAAAAAAGGGTTTGGTATTGACAACCAAACATTTGGTTATGGTATTTAAGCAACCAAATTTTTTTTTGTTTGAATCAACAAAATTTTGCTTGTCCCAATTAAACTTTTAGTTAGGACAACAAAAATCCTTTTTTTCTAATTTTGGTTGCGTGTCAAACAAATTTTGATTGAGACAATTAAAATTTTGTTGATTCAACAAAACAATTTTCGTTGCTTAAATATACCAACCAAACGTTTGGTTGTCAATACCAAACCCTTTTTTCAGTGTCATATTCTATAGTTATAGACTATATATATATGTAACGCAACTGTTTTTGACAGAACTAAAATTTGCAGTAAAAATAAATAAAAGCGACTAGTTTTCGGTACAAACTATTATTATTTAATTATATTTATTAGATGCAATATATTTTTAGTAAAAAATACTTTTGATGTTAAATAATCAAAAATAAATTTTTAATAAAGCAAAAACTACCATGAACATAACCTAAAATTTTAAGCAGCTAAACACCCTTTCACATATATAACCAAAATTTTAAACTATAGAATAATAATATGTTATACTTATATTCTAGTTTAAAATATTAGAAAATCTGGGTTACAGTTCTGCTCAAATTTAACCAAAAATTTTTGTTAAATAAATCAAAAATTTTTCTAGTAAAAAATTATTTTGTTATTTATTCACATCAGAATTGATTTTGCTATAGAAATTAACCAGAATTCTTTAACTAGGTCTATTAAATTAATATCGAAAATTAAAATTAAAATTATAACTATTGTTTCTTTTTAAAATAATTAGAAATTTTTTAACTAGATGCATCTAGTAACTTTTAAGCAGAACTTTTTTTCAGTATATTATTACTATTGTTCTTGTTATTATTATTAATTAGTATAAATATTCTGTTGGCATATATATGCTATTTCGAGGAGTTATCAACATTTTAAAACTAGAAAATTTTGAAAAAAGAGACTGCATTTTTTTTTGTGTTAATTAATTTTTAAAAATTCTAATTTCTAAAAAATTAATTTGTTTTGAAATATTTTTAAAATTAAGTTCAACAGTATAGGAGGAAGCAAAGTTGTATATTTATATGAAATGAATATAAAAATCCAAATATATATATTATATACCTCTTTACCTTCAACTTTTGCAGCGTTTTTTAAAAAAGTACTTTTCATTTTTATTATTAACCGCATTTTCAAAGAAATTGTATATGGAACAAAATAAAAAAATAAATATAATTTTTAATCTTTCATTTCAAAAATATGTGAAAAAAAATTTTAAGTTCTTATATACAATTTTATTTTTAAAGCGTATTTCAATAATGTTAGAAAATGTATAGTCGATTTTAACTTTTGATAAAATAGCGCAACCAAGCATCAAAATAAAGTATGACAGTTATTGATAATTACATGACATTTAAAGTTAATTTTAAAACTGTTTTATTTATAATATACATATATATATATACATATATATATATACATATATATATATACATATATATATACATATAGTAAAACAAAAAGTTATTGAAGAAAAAAATTCAACAAAAATATTGCTTCATTCATATACAAAAATTTTGCAAAATAATTTTTAATTTAATTAATTTTATTTTTGAAGAATTTTTAATTATAAAAATTTTAAACTGTTAAAATTTTTTTTCTATATTTATTTTTTATTGTTATAAAATTTATTTTTTAGTTAAACAAAATTTGGAGAAAAAAAATTTCATACAATAATAATTTAAAAAGAAAAAAAATTAACACAAAATTTTTGTGACTCGAGAGAATTGAAATAATAATAAAATGAGAGAAAAAAAATATTTTATTTTTTTTTTAAAAGCTATTTAGTACGCACTTGATTTCATGATACGATATCAAAAAATTGATATATAGTAAATTCAAGTGCAATGAGAAACGGAAGATCAGCATGACGAATCATGACATAATTGATGACAAGCGCGAACTACCGAGTCATTCTAGGGACCCCCGTGAATGTTAGGGGACCCTCCAGTGTGGGACTTTGACCTCCCCTTGATGATGGCACACTCTCAAAAAAAAAAAAAAAAAAAAAAAATAATAATAATAATATAAAAATACAATTACAAAAAAATTATTTAAAAAAGAGAAGAAATTATTATTTTAAGGGTAGAATAAACTAAATTTAACAAAAAATTGTTTTTTTTATCTTCGCAGGGAGAAAATTTACAAAAAATGAAAAAAATTTATTAATTTTTTCTATATTTAATAATATTTGGAAATACGCTTTTTTTAAAAATAAACAAACAATTTTTTCGGGCAAAATCGGGACATTTTTGAAAAGGCGTAACTCGCAATCTTTTTTTTCAATTTGGATCAATTTTTTTTTATTGTTCTTCCGGGTAAAATCGGTACAGACATAATTTGCGATCTATGTGATAAAACGGTTTAATTTTTTTTGTTGCAATTTATTCAAAATACTATTTTTCTTTAGTTATACACTACAAATTTTTTCTTCAAATATATATATACAAAATGAGAATCACGGAAAAAAAGGAATTGCTTATAGATGCTAACTGATGTTTGCTATCGGATCTATCAAAATTAGTAATAACCACAGATAAATTTTTTGCTATGACACAGAAATAGTTTGCTGTGATAAACAAATATTAGTCTTAATTTTTAAAAATTTATTATAACTTTTTTGGCTCCACAGCAAATTTGTTCGCTGTTCCTTTATATTAGCTAACGTAATTTTAAGCAAATAGTTCGCTGCCACTGTAAATTTTTTATGATTTTCATTTTTTAAAAAATTTTACGCCGTTTAAATGACTATAATTTAATAATAATTTATAATATACAAAAGTCCCTCTACTATTAGTTAATACTCTTATTTAAAAAAAAAACGGGGTTTCCGGGCAAAATCGAGCAAGCGTAAACATCTGAACCATAACTATAGATCAAATTGGAATAATTTTTTTTTTCAACATACTAAGTTTTATTTTCTCTCTTTTGTTATTCTAGATATTTTTCTGTAAAATGTACTAAAATACAAAAATCACGACTTTTTACTAAAAATACTGGTATAAAATAATATAAGGTTATATTTTTATGCCCAAATAATTTTTTAATTTAAAATTTTACTCCCACCTAAAAAAAATCCCTCTATTATGACTTGTTAAAACGTTTATTTTTTAAAAATCGGGTTTTTCCGGGCAAAATCGGGCAGGCGTTACTTGGAACCTTTTTGATTAATTTAGAATAATTTATTTTTCAACATTACTCAGCTTTCTTTTTTCTCTCTTGTTACTCTAGATATTTTTCCGTAAAATGTACTAAAAGCAAAAATCACCATTTTCGGCAACTTTTTTTGAAAATTTTCCAATGTAAAGTTATTCTTTACTTGTAGCAGTATAGATATAATATATGGTTTTATAAAATTCCACTTATTCTGCACAGACAAAAGTCTTGTTAATACGCTATTATTTTTGAAAAAAAAAACCGGGTTTTTTAGGGCAAAATCGGGCAAGCGTAACTCGGAACCTCTTTGATCAATTTTGGATTAATTTTTTTTGCCAACATACTCAGCTTTCTTTTCTTTCTCTCTTGTGCGACTATAGATATATTTTTCCATAAAATGTATACTAAAAGCAAAATTCGCCATTTTCGGTAAATTTTTTGAAAATTTGCTGAAGCTTCTTTACTTGTAGCAAATATTTTTGGTTTTATAAAATTCCACTTCCGCACATGTACAAAAGACTCTATTGACGCTTATTTTAAAAAAAAAACGGGTTTTTCCGGGCAAAATCGGGCAAGTATTACTCGGAACAAACTTGATCAATTGGATTAATTTTTTTTCCAACATACTCAGCTTTTTTTTCTCTCTTTTGTTACTATAGATATTTTTCCCTAAAATGAACTAAAAGCAAAAATCGCTATTTTCGGCACCTTCTACAAAGGTAATTAGCGGTTTTAATTAGGACCTAACTTTTCACTATTTTCTTATACAATTTTTTGGCCTTTGCATTTAATTTCGTTTAGTCCATAGAAGGAGTATCCCGGTATGGAAATTTATTGTACATATTCACTCACGAAACTTAAAAAAAAATTTACATACCGTGTCGAGAATGGCCGTGGTCAGGCCGGATCCTGGCACCAGCTAAAATCACTATCCGCGACTTCACTTATTAAACAGATCCTCTCTCTCTCTCTTTCTCTCTCAGCAGGAGAAAAAACAGTTTTATAGACACGATCCAGTAATTTGATTTAAAAGCCTATTTTTCTAAATATATTGCCTTTTTCCCGGATCACTTATCACTGATCACAGTAGTAAATATATAGTCTCTCTCTTATTTTCCAAAAAAAAAAAAAAAATCCCGGCATCAAGTGATAAAAAAAAAGAGAGTCGACTTCCGTTCCAATCGAGCGTGACACAATATATAATATAAACACTGGCGCAATGCTGGCTGAAAACAGGGCTATTTAATATATATTGGCCACTGCGTGTGTTTTTTTCCTCTCGCCTGGTTAAGCCGCCAGGCTTGTCCTCTCGTCGTTATGTTGTAACAAAAAGCGATACGATTGAATATTGAGCACGTGCGACTTAACGGGGGTGCAGTGACGCGTCGCTGCTACGGTGCGCGGCGCCCGATTGACCAACAGATTCTGCCTTCCCTCATGCGAAGATCCCCTGGAACAATTTTGGCCCAGGGTGCCCCCCACCTATATGTGTGTGTATTGGTGTGATCATATCATAACGTCAGTGGCTTGCGGCCCATTGGGCGGACAAAGTGGGCGTGGCCTTGCCCGCATGGTGGGAGGCGATGAGGTACGGACTCTAACGAAAGAATACGTTGTTGCGCGAGCGAGAAAAGTGATGTTTGGTGGGGGGGGGGGGTGATTCTGAAGGACGCGCCGATGGCGGGATGAGGACAAATGGGGGAGGAGCTTGTTTACCTTTTTCCAAAAGAAGAGGTGGGGTTGAAGGGGCGCCAGTGGAGACGCCATTGTTTTCCGCGCCCGCGCGACACTGTCGACGCTTAGCGTCCCGACGCCGCCACTCGCCCACGTAACCTCATCGCCGTCGCCTGACGGTTTATATTATATCATATATTATATAATATATATAGAGAATAGATAAAAAAAAACACCGTTATATTTCAAAAAAAAGGTTTTTTTCGTTCCGCGGGAAATTTTTTTTTTTTTTTTTTTGAAAAATCGTATCAGGAGAAGAAGATCATCTCTATACCTCTGTGAGAATGTGCCGCGAAATTGTTATTCTATAATATGTATATATAAACAAATTTTTTTGAATCTTGAGAATGGTAATAATTATTTATTCTATTGGACTATTTTTAATTATTGCACGTAATTTATTTTTAGAATTATTTATTTTTAGCCAGTAATTTTTTTTTTTAAGTAAAATTATTTATTTTTAGTTAATAAATTTATTTTTCAATTATTTATTTCTTGTTAATAAATTTATTTTTTAATCAAATTTTTTATTTTTTAAAAAAATTAATTTTTTTTATCAAATATATTATATTTACAAATCAACAAATTTATTTTTCAATTAAATTATTATATATTTTTACGCAATAAAATTATATGTTCTTTTATATAGTCATTGAATTATTTAGTATTAGCCAATAAATTATTTAGTATTCTGTCAATGAATTGTATTTATTTTTAATAAAAAATTATTTTTGAATTACTCGATGTTTATTTTTACAATTTATGTGGCGTTTTTTATTCTATATATATGTGCTTAATTGTAATGAAAATTTACTTTGCAAATAATATTACATATATATATATATATATATATATTTATATTTCGAATGTGCGGATACAATAATTCATTTTTGATTAATATGTCTACGCTTTGTTTTCTTTTGTTAAATAAACAATTATAAAATATGATTTGTTGGATAATTAATATTACAATAAGGGATGGAAGGGAGAAATAGGGGTTAAAAAAATATTTTTTTTAAGCTTAATTTTACAGGTAAAAGTATAATTAAAAAATATAGATATTTTTTTAAATATGTTTTTTTATTGTTTATGCAGAAAAAATATAAAAAAATTTTTTTTTCGATGTAACAAAAATTAATTTAACAATTAAAATGAACTTTTATATTATATATATAACATTTCTTTAATATAGTAATTATTAATTTCTATATTTCATAATAAATAATTTCATAGATTTTAAAAATATTTTTTCTATTTAAAAATTTTGCAAAACTTATTTAAATATTGAGAAAAATAATAATTAATATAATAATTGACATAATAATTGTATAATAATAATAATAATAATAATAATAATAATAGTATAAATTTTAGTTATAATAAGGGGCCATTCATTAATTACGTAAGGGTCCTTAGGGGGAGGGGGGGTTTATAAATTCTCTACATGGTCTTACGTGGGGGGGGGTGGGGGGTAGAAGCTAATCTTACGTAAGATTTTTCCTAGTATTTTCCATTTGTATTGATGTAATTAATTTTTTAATTACATTAATATTGTTAAAAACTTACGTAAGAAGGGGGAGGGGGGGTCCGAAAAATCTTATGTATCCTTACATGGGGGTAGGGGGGGTCAAAATTAGCCAAAATCGTCCTTAAGTAATTAATGAATGGCCCCTAATAACTAATACTAATAACTAATACTAAATAATAATTATATATAATAAATAATTAATTTATAAAGATATTTTTATTTAAATTATAATATAAAATTTGAAAAGAGTGATATATCTGATTTGGAGCCAATATTGAATTTTGCAAATTATTTTCCTTATTTTTTAATAAACCATATAATTAATAATAATAAATAATAATGAACTAAAACATTGATTTATAACATTTATTTGGTTAATAATTAAAATTCAGTTTCCTTCGATGTAAGTTTGAAATTTTTTTTATTTATAAATTACAAATAATAATTTATTTATAAAGTTGTAATAAAACAAATTCTAAAATTGTTATTTTCATTATTTAAAAAAAAATATGAAAATTAATTTTAAGAAACAAAAAAATATTGTTAAATTCTAAATAAATAAATAATTGCTTAATAATAAACAATGTTTATTAATGTTTATTAACAATATTAATGTTTTTTTTTAAATTTATTTCAATTTCTTTTTAATTTTTTACTAACGTCAACTTCTTTTAATTTGTTTATAATATTTCTAACAATTTTTATTTAATTCAAATCTAGATTTTATATATTGAAAACTTTTTTTTCTAACATAAAATTTTATTACGAATAATAAAAATTAAATTTAAAAGAAGTAAAAACAGTTTTTTTTTTCCTTAATAACTTTCAATTTTAATCAAATTTATTTATTATTTATTTATTATTTATTGTAAAAAAGAAATTTTTTTTTTTGTAAAAAATTTTATGCAAAATTGTTGAAAATAGGAAAATAAAGTAAAAATTTGACGAAAGAAATTCAGGTAATGTTGGTATATATTTGTATATTATATATATATTGAATAAATATATATATAAATATATATATAAGAATAATGGAAGAAAATGAGCTGAGAGGGCTACTGTATAAGAAAAACAGCGGGTGGAGGAAGAGAGGTCAGAATTGAGCTGACTGTAAGGATTAGAGAGAAAAAGAGAGTCGAGTAGCTGATATAGGTAAAGATATACCCCACCTCTAATTACTTCTCGACGTTTGAGTGACACATCTCATTAATTTCAGTGGCTTGATCTCAGCAGCGGATGTCTACTAACTTTGCCGCATCGCATAGTGAGAGAGAGAGAGAGAGAAAGCTGTGCGGGTCATGTCTCAAAATTCAAAAACCCTTTTTACAAATCTCTTCAATTTTTGAAACATATGCGCGCGGCCACAAAATGAAGTTCTCAGAATGTGAATCATAGAAATATGTTGACAGATTGTGTCACACGGTGAGAAATCGACCGGTTATCCCGCTGATGGGAAGGAATTTTTTTTCATCGGCAAATTTTTTCAGGTTATGTTAATTTATGAATATGTATATTATATATATGTACAATATATCTATATCAAAAACTGCCCCGTAAGTTTTGTATTTATATATCATTATTATATCCTCTCTATATATATATATTGGCTAATTTTTAAATATTATTTATTTATTCCAAATAATTTTTGGCATAAGTCGTAGTTGCTCAAAAATATTTGAATTTTTTTTATAAAACAATATATTAATAATTAGTTTGCATTTCTTGTGTTCCTGTAAAGGTTTTTTTGAGGTTATGTTAATTCTCACGTTGTGGGATCGAAAATCGACATCTACAATTCTGATTGGTTCGTTAAGTTTTCAGAAACTTTACCATCAGCCAATTAGAAGCGTTCAACAATATATTCGTTATGTTTTTACCTTATAACCTATATAGCTTTTTATATTTTAAAACATATGCAAAAAAAACCAAAAGTTTCACATTTCGGAGGTTCGATAGTGGATTCTAGGAAATTTTTCTCACAACTTTGTTGTTAAAGCTGCGGTTCAACAATGCAAAGAAAATTGTATATTGTTTTGAAGACGCAATTCTTGCAATTGTGGAACCAATCTAAAGTTAATGTAACATAAAACCTTAAAATTGAAACATTTATATATTATTTACGATTTCACATAATTATTTCATTATTTAAAAAAAAAAAACAATTTTTAAATGGTTTAGGGGCAGTATCAGTGTATTTATTTATTTATGAAAAAAATGAAATAAATTGACAATTTTTAGAATTATATAAAAATGTTTATAAACTATTATTAATTCTAAATATATATTTAAATATTGTGTTTTATAATATATTGAAAAAAATCAATAATAAAAAAAAAGAGAATACGATTTGGTAATTTCCGCATTTTTTTTCGTATATATTTATATATATATATATATATATATGCTTTATAATGTTTAGAAAAAGGCGGAGAACACAAGTGTAACAAGTGCATTTGTGGTAAAGCGAGGAGCCGACATCTCGGTGTAATCAGACACCAGAAGCTATGGGAGATGCAATGTAATTGAAAACATGCCAGAGGAAAGAAATTCGCCTCTGATCCCGTGCCGCGTTAACTCTCATTCTCTCTCTCTCTCTCTTTTCTCTCCTTTCATTGCGATGAATGTCGCCCCTCCCTGTCTTCTTTGCAATTAAAGATCGTTTGCCTTTTCCACTACGTTTCATTCACAATCCACCTGTTTTTCACTGTTTCTCTTTATATATTCTTTATGTTTTTTTTTTCATTTCGATTTCATATAAAAAATTTTTTGCGGAAAATTTTCTAAAACACATATAGTTTTTTCATATAAAATATAAAAGCATAATAATACTGAAAAGCTGATTTTTCTTATATACTTTAAAAAGGGAACCCTCACAGCACCAGATATCCTAGGATATTCCAAAAACATCCCTTGGATATCCTAGGGATACCCCAGGGATATCCTAAGGATACTTTAAGGATATCCAAAGTAGCGGCGATTAGGATATCTTAGGGATATCCCAGGGATATCTAAGGATGTCCCTAGGACGTCCCAGGGATATCCTAATCATTTCCCCGGATATTATTAGGATATCCTCAGGACGTCCTAAGGATATCCCAAGGATATCCCTGGAATAATTAGGGATGTCTTTAGGACGTCCTAAGGATATCCACAGTATATGTCTATATTATTTTAAGGGTTAGA